ATATTGATGTTGGGATTCATTGATGTTAATGTCGTCAGCTGGAATTGATCACCAGTTATAATGTTTATAACATGATGCAAGAACACAGGTGTCTGTAAATGAAGAACGGGCATTTGTCTTAAATACATGATTGAGAATTAATTAAATCAAACTGCTCGCAGACTAATGTCTGCATGCTAGTGTAGGTTTGATACTTGGTAAATATTGTATTTTCAAATCTTTAGAACTGATAGACACTTGTTATAGTTAATAGATCGTGAGATAGCCTTATGTGTCAATGTGATAAATCTCCTGCTGCTGCTTGGCCAGAAACCAAAGAAACATGACCAGATTTGTCCTGATTGTGTTTCTGGTATTGTTTGACTGCATCAGGGGGGACTCCTGGATAGAGTTTATTCTTTTTATTCATGCATGAACATCCAGCACCTCAGATTATGAGGTAGTCATGACAAAATGCAAATGTCTGATTGGCCAAAAATATTTCCTGATCCCTGGATAGAGCGTCTCTCCGGAAAGTGGAAGTTCTGTGGTTCTTTGCCGGCTGTGTCATACCAAATGATGTTGAAAGATGGTACTTGTTACCCTGCCTGGCGCTCAGCATTAAGGGGATAAATCAAGGACTGATTGGCAGTATATGGTATCTGAGTTATCCATGTTAAACTGCAGTATCTCATTGGGCACTATAAAACCAGAAGTTGTCCAGACTAGTACCAGGAGCCTCACAATTGCACACACACTGACACTCTGTGATATGACTGAAGTACTGTGTTCGAAGCAGAACTAAACCCAACTCACTCACTCACTCACTCCTAACTCAAAATAGCCAATGCAGCACTGGCTTGAAGTGATCCCTTGACATTGATTAAAATCAGTTGGCACTCCATAATTGGCTGACCTCTTTGTTTGTTGCCAGATACTTTCTACCAATTATTGAATCATGGGTTTGCCCTAGCCACTTAAAACTGGGGTCATTAGATATTTTTTTAAAATATGAGATCATTCAAGCAGGTAAAATGTTCACTTTGGTTTGGTTGTAGGAAATGTTTCATCAGTGTTTCTCCTGAGTTGTCTTGAGTGAGAAACCTGATGAATGTAGTTTCATCCTAAAGTGGATTTGTTTGGAGTACTTTGAAGTACAATCACACAGAACAGGTTAAATTATGTACTGATTTAAGAAATATATGACTAGTGGGAGTTGTCAATTGTACAATAAAACACTGCAGGCCCGGCCCCGAGTGGTTTATTCTCCCTGCAGTGTTTTATTGTACAATGAACAACGACCACGAGTTGTTTATTACGTATATGAGATGTAAACATTATGTACAGCCTGTTTAAGGATGTTACTAAAATGTACAAGCTTTAAAAATATTTACCCATATTTGAAGAATGATGACCTCGGCAATGTTGGACAAGTCTATTTTATATAAAGGTGGGTATTTCCCTCATATTCTCACAATCCTCACGTCGATTGCCTGTACCTTTTCTCCCAGTACCTATTGTCATACCTATCACGCTTTGGGATGCGATCGTTCAGCCATCGATTTTATCTGTGTTGCCCAGCTACATCTATGGAGAACAACTCACAGACCCTCCCCTCTCAAAAATAACATCGTCCTATATATGACGTCATCAAGTTGCGAGCTCATGTTTGAATCTCCATAAATGACATATGATAGAACAATGTTTTGTCGTGAAATAAACAACACTTTGTTCTTCGTTGTTCTTTGCGATTTATCGCATAGCTATCTTGTATAGAACAGTATACAGTGGTTATTACACAACTTGTGAACATTCTAACAATGGAACTCTAGATTAGATGAACAGCTCTTTTGTAAAACACACTTCTATATCCTCTGTGTCTTAGTTGAACCTTGACGGTGGGGAGCCTAGTGGTTAAAGTGTTAGCTCGTTATGCCGAAGGCCCGGGTTTAATTCCCCACATGAGTACAATGTGTGAAGCCAATATTATTGGGTCCCCTCACCCTGATATTGGTGGAATATTGCTAAAAGCGGCGTAAAACCATACTCAGTTGAACCTATTTCACAAAATAATCTTCCATGAATCATTTATTAACAAAGTTATTCATTCATGATCATTGTAGCCAAGTCACAGGAGCACTCTGGCTTCACAGCTTGTGTAAGAGTTATAATTTAAACCACTTGTGTAAAGGGTGCGTAAAAGCTATTCTGTCAAGAGTTACCCCCCTTATACCATTTTGTAGAACCCATGTCTTCAGGCAAATATATCATTTCATTCTCAGCTGCAGAGCTGTGCAAGTGAGTTAATGGAAGATATAGTACATACTTCTCTCTGCTACACGTGTCTTCAACAACAGACTTTAGCACTATTAACCATGCATTAACCTTTCCAACAAAATCACTTGTTTTTCTTCACTGAGGTAAGAAGTAGCATGTGAAATATAGGCAGTGTATGGTTTCTCTTCAAGTCTTATGAAAAGTTCTGGATGGAAACATTTTGTAATGATAAAAGATGTGGCCTGAGACATCTTTTGACACATGAAGATCCGGGGTAGAATAGGTCTTCAGCAACCCATGCTTGCCATAATGCTAGTCATGTTATTCTGGTCCAGACTTGATTATTTATAGACCGCTGTCATATAGCTGGAATATGTCTGAGTGCGGCGATAAACAACAACAAACAAAAACTATTTGTTTTACATCCTACTTGGTGACAAATTGGGATAATATTTTCTTCAATGCAAAGACACAGATTTACACGGAAATACTCAGTAATATTCCAACTATATGACGGCGGTCTGTAAATAATCGAGTCTGGACCAGACAATCCAGTGATTAATATAATGAGCATCGATCCACGCAATTGTGATCGATGACATGCATCAACCAAGTCAGCAAGCCTGACAACCTGATCCTGTCAGTCGCCTCTTACGACAAGCATAGTCACCTTTTACGGCAAGCATGGGTTGCTGAAGACCTATTCTACCCCGGATCTTCATGGGTGTATAACATGTAGTATAAGTTTGTGCCAGGTAGAGTGTTTGATGTCTGAAGTTACTCTTTTGAATTGCTGAATGTCTGGCAAGGGTTCACTTGTCGCTATAGAAGGCTTGGGTTCAATTCCCAACATGGTGTGAAGGCCATCTCTTGGTGTCAAGTCTGTTTCCCTAGTGTACTGGTCGTGTAACTTTTCACACATTTATTTCTATACCTGTTTTGGTTATTTTATTGTTGATGTCATGTGAGTTGTTTCTGACAGATGTTAAAAAACCATGACGTTAAATCAGTGATAAATGTGGGTGAAATTGGGTTTAACATCACATTCAAGATTATTTCACTTACATAGCGAAGGGCATACACGTGTATGTGTGTCTACTTGTACTTGTCTGGGCTTATAGTACTAGCCCATTGAGATACCATGCCACAGTTTAACATGGTTACCCCACTCAGACATATTGACTGCAACTGACCTGTCTTTGTTTATCCGATTACTGCCAAGTGCTAGGCCGGTTAACAACCTTTATTAAGAATCTTGCTTTCCATTGGTTCATCCGTACCACAATACATTTCAATGTAGACCCCGAAATCATGTGACTGACACTGACCTCAAGTATTGACTTGTCACATGATCAGTATTGAGTGAGTGAGTGTGTATGGTTTTACGCCGCTTTTAGCAATATTCCAGCAATATCACGGCGGGGGACACCAGAAATGGGCTTCACACAATGTACCCATGTTGGGAATCGAACCCGGGTCTTCAGCGTGACGAGCGAACGCTTTAACCACTAAGGCTACCCGACCGCCCCTGATCAGTATTGACCTGTCACGTGATGAGTATTGACTCGTCGGCTAGAAAACAAGATGGCGTCTGCTACGAATATTGCACGACTTGCGGCTAAGTTACTGTAATGAAATAAAGGACAGTTTAAAGACTACATCAACTTTAATGTGAATTTTGGTATAACGAAAGGATTGATTACTCTTGATAAGGTGTGTATGCGAAAACAAGGATTCCTCGGACCTTGGCGCACCTCAGGGGTCGGGTCCTCGGTCCTTGTTTTCGCGTATTGACTTTGTCAAGAGTACTTATTTGTATATCATCTTTTAAGGTCTCTTGTATGACACAGCCAGGGGATCGAACCACCAACCTCCCACTCTCCTAAAAGACCATGGAGGCGGTCCTGTCAGTGATAAAACCGTACACTATATACTTGTATATAAAACATACTATATACTTTTATCAGTAAGCTTTATATGTTAGTTTGCTGTAGTGAGTTCGTTATGTAAGTATATTTTTTATGATAATATACAGGAGATAAATCAAGGATTTTTTAACAGTCCGTTGTATCTGTGTTCATTTTATCCGTGTTTTACTGTAATTTTGTTTTTCCGACATACTCGTTAATCCGACATAATCATTTGCAACCAACCATGTCGGATTAACGGGACTTGACTGTATATACAAAATACACTATACACTTGTTACACTATAAAGTCGACCCGTGAAGATTCCGGGGTAGAATAGGTCTTCAGCAACCCATGCTTTCCGTAAAAGGCGACTACGCTTGTTGTAAAAGGTGACTAACAGGATCGGGTGGTCAGGCTCGGTGACTTGGTTGATTCATTTCATCGATCCCAATTGCGTGGATCAATGCTCATGATATTAATCACTGGATTGTCTGGTCCAGACTCGATTATATACAGACAGCCGTCATATAGATGGAATATTGCTGAGTGCGGCGTTAAACAACAAACTACTACTACTACTACTATATAGTCATGTGCGTGTTAGCACAATGTGTTGAAGAAGACAGAGCTAGGTTGTCAATGATTAAACTGGAGTCCAATATCGCCTTCACGTTAGCTGTTTATAGCGACTGTAAGACGGCAAGCTGTAAGTCCATACTATCGTCTCTGTGCCTCCCTTCTCGTGCAGTCTCCTGTCCCGTACTCGTCATGATCTGAATGTCAGGTTAGTCTGATGTGTAATAAAGACATCCTTGATATTTTCTGTGTTTCAGACACGGCATTTTGTCATACATCATGTCTGCCTACAACACTCACATCGTCTCCCTGGCTACCAGATCACATCAGTCGCTGTGCAAAATAGCGTCCAGGTAATACAATACATCTCCTTCTGACAGGTTAGTTTGCTGGTCTTGTCACAGTCACTGATGAGACCTGGGCCACACAGTTACAGTGGCAGCATGGAATGGCGGACTTGTGGAGCACATCTGGGATGAGACATTAGCTCTGTAATCAAACTCATTTCGTCTACTCATCCATCCTGAAGCCCACTTCCATCCATCCACCCCCTATTCATCATCAATGCATCACCCCAATCAACCAACCTTCCCTGTGTCCACCCAGCCATAAATCCAATTTTCTGCCAGTGTATCCTTTCTCCCATTCTTCATTCATCCATCCATCTCTATCTCTATCCATCTTCTTATCCATCAATCCGCCCGCACACCTACTTGTGTCCATCCTCCTCTTCATTCACCAGTCAATTTATCAATCATTTCATCCACCTTTTCAATCATCCCTGGGGAGGTCGGGTAGCCTAGTGGTTAAAGAGTTTGCTTGTCAGGCCGAAGACTCGGGTTCGATTCCCAACATGGGTACAATGTGTGAAGCTGATTTTGGTGTCCCCTCTGTCATATTGCTGGAATATTGCAAAAAGTAGTGTAAAACCTCACTCACTCACTCACTCACTCACTCACTCACTCACTCACTCACTCACTCACTCTCTCACTCACTCATCCCTTCACCATTCCATTCATCCATGTAATCTGTCAATCCATCAACCCTCAATCAAACCATTCTTCCATCCATCCACTATCCACCCACCCTTCCCCCAATCCATCTACCCATGCATTCTCCCATCTATTCATGCCTCCCTCTTTCCATCCATCATCGACCGCCTCTGGGTCTAGTGGTAGAGTGTCTGCCTCTAGAGCAGAAGGTCAGGGGTTTGATCCCCCGCCATGTCATACAAAAAGATGTTAGTCATCCCTTGTTCTTTTCATTTGTCATCCACCTTTGATAAATCCATCACATATCATCAATCCATGTATATCCATCTGTCTTTCTATCAATCCATTCACTTATTAATCCATATAATAACTCATGGATGGATTTTATCTATTGTTAGGGTTTGCTATTCTGCTAAAAACATTTATTCAGAACATCTGCAATGATTTCGTGATCAGACTTAATTACATTGGCCTATAATTGTGCCCTTGAACTCTTGTGCATACTTTCAGTCGTTGGTTTGACTGGGATATTTAGAAACCACGATGAAACAGCTTGAATATTGCTGACTGTGGCATAAAACCTTATTAACTCACTCACTCTCACTCACTCTCCCAATAAACACATCCATCCATCCACCCCCAAACCGTACCCCACTTACTCACTTACCCACACACCATCTCACCCACCTTAACCCACTCACTCACCCAAACCCTCTCTCACCCAACCTCCCATCCATCCACCCATCCAATCACCCACTCACCCACCCTATCGCTCACCCAAACCCACTCACTCTCCCAAACCCACTCTCACCCATCCAATCACCCATTCACCCACCCTATCGCTCACCCAAACCCACTCACTCTCCCAAACCCACTCTCACCCATCCAATCACCCACTCACCCACCCTATCGCTCACCCAAACCCACTCACTCTCCCAAACCCACTCTCACCCATCCAATCACCCACTCACCCACCCTATCGCTCGTCCAAACCCACTCACTCTCCCAAACCCGCTCCCACCCATCCAATCACCCACTCACCCACCCTATCGCTCACCAAAACCCACTCACTCTCCCAAACCCGCTAACCCATCCAATCACCCACTCGACCACCCACCGTCTCACCCACCTCAACCCACTCACTCACGCAAACCCACTCTCACCCACCCATCCACCCAATCACCTGCCCTACCACTCACCCAAACCCACTCACCCAAACCCATGCTGACCCAACCTCCCACCCACCTGCTCACTCCCTCATCCACTCGCTCCCCCATCCACTCACATGTGTGTTGCTATGTTGTATTGGAACCTAATGATGCCTTCATTTTTCACTCTCACTCACTCACTCACTCACTCACTCACTCACTCACTCACTCACTCATGTACCTACCCTGATGTTCCCTCTGTCCAGGTTGGCCGCGACGGGCTTCAGCAACCTGCTGCACCACAGTGAGGCGGACTCGAGTCCCGACAGCCTGTGTGACCGGCGCAATGGCTTCCAGTCAGAGGTGCTACCCAGGATCCCCGTCAGTCCTGCCCTGCTGGTGGAGATGCTGTCTGGAGTCTACTATGTCATGTAGGCATCCTTGTAATGTCACCTTAGTTCTACGATGTGTCATGTAGGCATCCTTGTAATGTCACCTTAGTTCTACGATGTGTCATGCAGGCATCCTTGTAATGTCACCTTAGTTCTACGATGTGTCATGCAGGCATCCTTGTAATGTCACCTTAGTTCTACGATGTGTCATGCAGGCATCCTTGTAATGTCACCTTAGTTCTACGATGTGTCATGCAGGCATCCTTGTAATGTCACCTCAGTAGTTCTACGATGTGTCATGCAGGCATCCTTGTAATGTCACCTTAGTTCTACGATGTGTCATGCAGGCATCCTTGTAATGTCACCTTAGTTCTACGATGTGTCATGCAGGCATCCTTGTAATGTCACCTTAGTTCTACGATGTGTCATGCAGGCATCCTTGTAATGTCACCTCAGTAGTTCTACGATGTGTCATGTAGGCATCCTTGTAATGTCACCTTAGTTCTATGATGTGTCATGCAGGCATCCTTGTAATGTCACCTCAGTAGTTCTACGATGTGTCATGTAGGCATCCTTGTAATGTCACCTTAGTTCTACGATGTGTCATGTAGGCATCCTTGTAATGTCACCTCAGTAGTTCTACGATGTGTCATGTAGGCATCCTTGTAATGTCACCTTAGTTCTACGATGTGTCATGTAGGCATCCTTGTAATGTCACCTCAGTAGTTCTACGATGTGTCATGTAGGCATCCTTGTAATGTCACCTCAATAGTTCTACGATGTGTCATGTAGGCATCCTTGTAATGTCATCTCAGTAGTTCTACGATGTGTCATGTAGGCATCCTTGTAATGTCACCTCAGTAGATCTACAATGTGTCATGTAGGCATCCTTGTAATGTCACCTCAGTAGTTCTACGATGTGTCATGTAGGCATCCTTGTAATGTCCATGTCAGCAAGTTTTGTTGTGTAAAGGAAGACTTTGTTCCAGAGAATCCTATGCTTGTTCCAGGTTCAATGGTCAGGCGAATGTGGGTATCCAGTCGGTGGAGGACATCCACTCCAGGGCCTGCTATGAGCTCTACTCTGATGTTCAACTGGTAGGTATAGAAGTGTTTGTTGTTCAACACCACACTCAGCAATATTCCAGCTATATGACAGAGTCTGGACCAGTGATTGACATCATGGGCATCTGCCTACACGATTGGTATACGATGACATGCATCAACCTAGTCATCGAGCCAGACCACCTGATCTTGTTGCCTGTATGGCTTCTGAATACCTTTTGTTTGTTTGTTTGTTGTTTAATGCAACACTCAGCAATATTTCAGCTTTATGACGACTGACTGTAAATAATCGAGTGTGGACCAGACAGCCAAGTGATTGACATCATGATCATCGATCCACGCATTTGGGATACGATGACATGCATCAAACCAAGTCAGCGCGCCTGACCACCCAATCCCGTTAGTTGCCTCTTACGACAAGCATATTCGCCATGGGATGCTGAAGACCTATTCTACCAACTGTAACCTAGATCTTCACATGGGAGGTTAATGATGGTGATGGTGTAAAAAGAATATAGGCAGTGAACTTGAGAGATGCATTCCCCCCATAATTTTTATGTGATTCTAATAACCATGTTATGTATATTATGTATAGTGTGGGGTGTGGGTGTCTCCATCTTCGAAGGCACCGCAGCTCACTGTGGTGAGTTGTGTTCTAGGTCTGTCAGCACCATACCAATGCTCCTGGGTTTCACCATAGTGGTAAATGTTGGAGACTTGCATTATTTTGGTCTGTTCTAAATCAAGCCGACATGCAGTGATATAACTGGAATACTCTTCAAAGCAGCTTCTACCACTCACTCACTCACTCACTCTTGCTTAAGGTCTCAAAGGTCATTCTGATGTCATGCAACACGGTTAGGGTGTTTCAGCCTCGTCATGCCACTCTTCCTGTCATGAGCTGCATAACTATCGATACATCTTTGACATTATGATTGTAAGAATTAGAGGTGCGTGAGGTGAAATGGGTGTTAGCGTCGTGTTCAAGATTATTGCACTTATATGTGTGTGTGTGTGTGTGTGTGTGTGTGTGTGTGTGTGTGTTTGTGTTTGTGTTTGTGTGTGTTTGTGAGCGAGAGATTGATTTTATAATACTAGCCAACTGAGATACCATGCCGCAATTTAACATGAATTCCCCACTCAGACACAGTATACTGACTTTGAGCCGACCAGTCCTTGTTTTAACCCCTTAATGCCAAGCGCCACACAGGGTAACAACAAGTACCATCTTTAAACGTCTTTTGGTAGGACACGGCCGGGTATCAAACCCCTGACCTACCGCTCTCGGGGCAGACGCTCTACCACTAAACCACAGAGGCGGTCGGAAGGATAATGAGATGTAGACACTGTTGAGTTTGTAAATGTATTTCAATGATATAAATGACTTCCTCTGCGGTCTAGTGGAAAGTATGAAAGGGATTGTAGTATGAAAGTATAACGTATGAATGGACAAGTTGTCTTGGAGTCTGTATATTGTGTCTGAGTGGGATATTCATGTTAAGCTGCATCCGGTATCTCAGTGGGCTAGCACTATAAAGCAGGCATTAGTCTGGACTAGTACAAGCAGCCATTCACACTTATGCATGCATGCTGCTATGTCAGTGCATTAATCTTTTTCACAACGTAAAACCCAATTTCACCCAACCTCACCAGTTTATAATACCTGTTGTGTCTCTATGAGCAGCTACAGATATATCCTGCCCTAGGAATTGATATTTGCTGCATTACATATTTTAAAGTTGTTTTGCTGTCAGTTAAATCAATGGAGCATAGATAATCAAGACTGTTTATTCTATGGCGTTGACATTATTATTTTCCATGCTTATAGCTGGTTATTCATAAACAGTCTTACATTAAAGTTGATTAAAAACATGTTTATTCAGTTTCACATTCTCTAAACCATTAAATAGATGCAAGCCATTTTTTAGGAATTGGTAAATGGGAAAATTATGACAGCTGCTGATGTAGATACATGTAGAGTGGCACTGATTGATGTGTTCATAGGGAGCAAGCGTCAGTGTTCAGTCACACTGAGGGACCATCATTGTCTTGTGTCTGACTGCTCCAGTGGCTGCAGCATTTCCCCCTCCAACAAAGACCAGGTTGTGGTCGAGTCCCCACATTCCTCCCTCCCTGGTGTATGGTGAAAATCAAGCAGACACTTTCTCATGGCAGAGATAGTGGGCTCTGGCTTAATGCCCCTTTTACTTTGCCCCGTCATATCAATCTTGAATTGAGAGTATACATGTTTATCTATTTATAAAATTCCATCTTGAATGATATCCTTGACTAAAATATGATGACACAGCATATGGCTGTACACACTCATTATTTTCATAATCTGTTACCTTTCCTTGACTGAGGAATATAATTACGTATGTTTATTCAAAACATATGATCTTTTCAAATTTGTGTAAATTCGGTTAAATCTTAACTTGACTGTCAAAATATATCAGTTTGACATTTTAAAAGATTGAAATTTTGTGAAATTTTGTAAACATACAGAGATTGAAATCACAAGTAAAGATTAAATCTTGATGACAGTGCAACATTTAAATGATGATTGATGAATATATGCATGATAAATCCCCAGAAAATAGCAGTCTTCCAACCTTCTGTCGCATGGGTCAGCAAGAAGGATTCAAATCACATTTCATTCCTCATTTATTTCCTAGTGCATATGAAACTTGTTTCACATGTGTGATTACAAGGTATGCTTACAATTGCTGCTGCAGACTGAAGGTGGTCTGTTTGTCTTTTGATTTCTCTAAGGAAAACACTTTGGCTTTTTCAGAATTTGGTGAATTGATAATACCTTGTCAGTATTAAAATAGAGAGTTACAGTGTGTATGTGATAGTTACCAGGGATTCATTCTTTCATTCATTCATTAATTCGTTCATTCGTTCGTTCGTTCGTTCGTTCGTTCGTTCGTTCGTTCGTTCGTCCGTCCGTCCGTCCGTCCGTCCATCCATCCATCCATCCATTCATTCATTCATTCATTCATTCATTCACAATAGGTCAAGATGGGGTCCATTTTGGTAAAAGAGTATTTATTTTCATTTGACCGTATGTTTTACAGGTGAAACTCACTCTCCCCTGTGAAACATCTGGTCAGATGGAAGTTGTATTGCTCACTAAACGTGTATGAAAGTTCCATACGACCAAACATTCTACATACTGTCTTCAGTCTATGGCAGTACATGTCAGTACGTCACACAGCAACATCTGACAACCTGAAATGAAAGTTACTGTAATAAGGCTATGATAGTAAATCTCACAAGATCTGATACTGATAGCCACATGAACTTGTTGGTCTACATATGAACGATAGCCACATGAACTGGTTGGTCTACATATGAACAATAGCCACATGAACTGGTCGGTCTAAATATGAACAATAGCCACATGAACTTGTTGGTCTACATATGAATGATAGCCACATGAACTTGTTGGTCTACATATGAATGATAGCCACATGAACTTGTTGGTCTACATATGAATGATAGCCACATGAACTTGTTGGTCTACATATGAACAATAGCCACATGAACTGGTCGGTCTACATATGCATGATAGCAACATGAACTTGTTGGTCTACATATGAACAATAGCCACATGAACTGGTCGGTCTACATATGCATGATAGCCACATGAACTGGTCGGTCTACATATGCTTGATAGCCACATGATCTGGTCAGTCTACATATGCATGATAGCCACATGAACTGGTTGGTCTACAAATGCATGATAGCCACATGAACTTGTTGGTCTACATATGCATGATAGCCACATGAACTTGTCAGTCTACATATGCATGATGGCCACATGAACTTGTTGGTCTACATATGCATGATAGCCACATGAACTAGTCAGTCTACAAATGCATGATGGCCACATGAACTTGTTGGTCTACATATGCATGATAGCCACATGAACTGGTCAGTCTACAAATGAACCATAGCCACATGAACTTGTTGGTCTACATATGCATGATAGCCACATGAACTGGTCAGTCTACATATGCATGATGGCCACATGAACTTGTTGGTCTACATATGAACAATAGCCACATGAACTGGTCAGTCTACAATTATTATGCATGATAGCCACATGAACTGGTCGGTCTACATATGCATGATAGCCACATGAACTGGTCGGTCTACATATGCATGATAGCCACATGAACTGGTCAGTCTACAAATGCATGATAGCCACATGAACTTGTCAGTCTACATATGCATGATAGCCACATGAACTGGTCAGTCTACAAGTGCATGATAGCCACATGAACTGGTCGGTCTACATATGCATGATAGCCACATGAACTGGTCAGTCTACATATGCATGATGGCCACATGAACTGGTCAGTCTACAAATGCATGATAGCCACATGAACTGGTCAGTCTACATATGCATGAAAGCCACAGGAACTAGTTGGTCTAAATACATACCTTGGCCACATTACTTACTGGTCTACTTTTGTATGATGGCCACATGAACTGACCAGGCTATGTATGTTTAATGACCACATGAACTGACCAGGCTATATATGCATGATAGCCACATGAACTGACCAGCCTATATATGCATAATAGCCACATGAACTGGTCAGTCTACAAATGCATGATAGCCACATGACTTTGTCAGTCTACAAATGCATGATAGCCACATGAACTGGTCAGTCTACAAATGCATGATAGCCACATGAACTGGTCAGTCTACAAATGCATGATAGCCACATGAACTGGTCAATCTACATATGCATGATAGCCACATGAACTGGTCAGTCTACAAATGCATGATAGCCACATGAACTGGTCAGTCTACATATGCATGAAAGCCACAGGAACTAGTTGGTCTAAATACATACCTTGGCCACATTACTTACTGGTCTACTTTTGTATGATGGCCACATGAACTGACCAGGCTATGTGTGTTTAATGACCACATGAACTGACCAGGCTATATATGGACGATAGCCACATGAACTGACCAGGCTTTATATGGACGATAGCCACATGAACTGACCAGG